AAAATATACCTTTTGGAAAACAAGCCTTTTTAAAATTTATTCCAAACCTATGGCATACTCATACGATTGTCTCACAATTGAATTAATATTAGAAAACCTTAAATACAGCTCATATACACAGTCCACTAACATTCGAGAGCAGATATGAAATCTTGCTTGTTAAATGCGTGATTGGCATCGTGAGATCTTATACTTATTTCCTTGCGGAACATTAACTTAAGGTTTTAGCCAAAGCTCCACCCCTTCCAGGATCCCGCTCGATTGGATCTAGCACCGTTGAATGGAATGGACGGAGGAAAATGGTGTTCAGAGGGCACCATTGTTCAGTGTTCATGCTTACAGTCTCGCGCAACGCAACACATTCTGATTGCGGAATGTGCAATGAGCGGAGAATGTAAGTGATTTCTCGAATGACTACTTTTTAGTCGAGTATGCGTCAAAATTGACATTCATTTTTAAATCAGAATTTAAGCACTAAAAGTTGAATTTTCCCAAAACTAATTGAGTAGGCATCACAATGTCACTGCCTTTGAAAACAATTCTTTACATTTTGGGAGGAATGAGGTTTCGACATCTCCAAATGTCTCGTCAGCTGCATAACTGAAATAGGCAAAGTTTTTGTTGAAGAATAACTGCTAAAACTTCTAATGACTATAATGAAATATACCATCTTTTTCCCATTGACAATCATGTTTGTATGGCTTAGTGTTAACTTTTCGCGGCGCATTACTCAAGAGCCGGTTTCCAATCTTGCTGGGGCTTACTGAGGAGACTCGGACGGTGTCGAGACCCAATTCCAGTTCGTGCTGTATGGGAAAAATGTTGTGAAGCAATAACATGTTGATGCCATTTGCCATGAGTGTGACAAAAAGTCGGCTAATAGTGCTAAATTCATCTTAACAGGTCCGAGGTGACAAGATGTTGCTGCTCAAGCAAGCAGGCGTTTTCCACACACACAGACAAACACACACACACACTGAGTTTATCCTTTATCTGAGAAAGAGTGTGTTACAGTAAAATAATTCATAATTGACAACTTGTTTTTGCATTCGGCAATTGGCATAAATGATGAGCATTTACCTTTATTTTCTGGCCCATTTTGATGAAGTTTCTATCCAAAATATGATTTAGACTAATGTCTATCTCCTCGCCAATATCTTCAATGAGCAAAATCTTGCCGTAGCTAACTGCGTCCTCGACATCCGACCTGAACAGCTTACTCGAGAACGAGGTGACCTGTTGACAAAAAAGACATACAGAAACTTGTGTTAACAGTTCAGCTGACTGCAATGCTGGGACAAGGAGACATGCTCGCCTTGAACTGTATCCCCAAACTGCCAGCCAGGATTCCCTACGCCACGGTGCCATCAACACTCGAATGGCTCAATTTTGAGATAATACATCTTTTCGTGCTGTATGCCTCCTCGTCATGTGACGACCGTGAGCTGATGTCGAATGGGTCAGTGAGATCGGTCAAGGTGTGAAAGATTGTAAAATGAATTTCCATTCCGAAAGCAAAGTTGGTTGGAAAGAACCAACTTACCAAATAACTTGTCCTTATAAATGCAAAGTTATGTCACAATATATGAATTATTAAGCAATTCTTCGAAACCCAGTTTTTCCTTACATCTCTACAGAAAGTCACCGTCAGGTGGTGCTGTATTTTATTTGAGTTTATTGCTTTGAGGATCTGCGATTTGAGGGGATCAAGGCGAAAAGAAAACGCGCTTTTGGAACAGACTCTAAAATATTAATTAACTCCTATTCATTTGGTTAAGATCATGTTCAACTCAATTATGGTGGGAATAAGCAATCACTGGCTTATTCACTATGATTTCCAGCCTCGATTGAAAACATCCGCTTCCTACCGATGTCAGTTTATATTGACGCCAATTATGTCATGCTGGTACTTTCACATGATACACTTAATCCTTGAATCTGTAATTGGGTCCAGACTTAGACGCAGGTTATAGGACAGAGGACGACATGGCAACTGAATCGTCTAGTCTGGAATGGTAAAACAAGATCACTGCCTCCTGTAATTGGGAAATTACGAATGCAATGCTAAATTTGTTTAATAATTGGACTGTCTAATTTACCCATTGTTGTTTGCTTTAAAATTAGCCTCACGCCTGCAGAATGCAGACACGAAATGCAAATGGATTTTGATTAATCTTCTGTTCTACCAACAAGCGCGCATTTTTTATACACAAATTTACACAACTTAGCATTGTGTCTCAGATTGACCGTCTAACAATACAAGCATCTGGAGTT